ACTGTTTCCTTTGTTGTGCAAAAGCTTTAGATCTTGATGAAGTCCCAATAGTTCATTTTTGCCCTTGCTTCCCTCGCCTTTGGCGTTGTGTCTAGCAAGAAGTTGCTGCGGCTGAGGTGGAAGAGGTTGCTGCCTGTGTTCTCCTCAAGGATTTTGATGGATTCCTGTCTCACATTTAGATATTTTATCCATTTTGGGTCTATTTTTGTGTATGGTGTAAGGAAATGCTCCAGTTTCATTCTTTTGCATGTGGCTGTCCAATTTTCCCAACACCATTTGTTGAAGAGACTGTCTTTTTTCTATTTCTGGAGAACGTTCCATGTGCATTAGAGAAGAATGTATATTCTGTTGCTTTGGGATGGAATGTTCTGAATATATCTGTGAAGTTCCTCTGGCCCAGTGTGTCATTTAAAGCCTTTATTTCCTTGTTGATCTTTTGCTTAGATGATCTGTCCATTTCAGTGAGGGGGGTGTTAAAGTCCCCTACTATTACTGTATTATTGTCAATGTGTTTCTTTGATTTTGTTATTAACTGGCTTATATAATTGGCTGCTCCTTTGCTAGGGGCATAGATATTTAAAACTGTTAGATCTTCTTGTTGGATAGACCCTTTAAGTATGATGTAGTGTCCTTCCTCATCTCTTATTATAGTCTTTGGTTTAAAATCTAATTTGTCTTCCCTCTTTTTTGCCGCCATCCTGCTCTGTGTGGCTGGCTGCTTCTTGCCATGTCTTCTCACAAGACTTTCAGAATCAAGCGATTCCTGGCCAAGAAACAAAAGCAGAATCGTCCCATTCCCCAGTGGATTCGGTTGAAAACTGGTAATAAGATCAGGTACAACTCCAAAAGGAGGCACTGGAGAAGAACCAAGCTGGGTCTGTAAGGCGTCACACGTCATGAGATGACACACCTAATTGGCATACATATTTAATTAAGCTGCATGAAGATCATGTGTTCTATCATTCTGTAAACATCCTTCCTACCTGGCCATAGACTTGTCTTATCATGGAAATGATTCTTCTCTCTGACTATGCCTCTGCACCAGTAGGTTGGTTCAGTAATAAGTGTGAGACCTCTCGGCTCTAAAAAAAAAAAAAAAAAAAAAAAATCTAATTTTTCTGATTTAAAATATAAGGATTGCCACCCCAGTTTCTTTTGATGTCCATTAGCATGGTAAATGCTTTTCCACCCCCTCACTTTCAATCTGGAGGTGTCTTTGGGTCTAAAATGAGTCTCTTGCAGACAGCATATTGATGGGTCTTGTTTTTTATCCAATCTGATACCCTGTGTCTTTTGAGTGGGGCATTTAGCCCATTTACATTCAGGGTAACTACTGAAAGATATGATTTTAGTGCCATTGTATTGCCTGTAAGGTGACCGTTACTGTATATTGTCTGTGTTCCTTTCTGGTCTATGTTACTTTTAGGCTCTCTCTTTGCTTAGAGGACCCCTTTCAGTATTTCTTGTAGCTCTGGTTTGGTGTTTGCAAATTCTTTTAGTTTTTGTTTGTCCTAGAAGATTTTTATCTCTCCTATTTTCAATGACAACCTAGCTGGATATAGTATTCTTGGCTGCATATTTTTCTCATTTAGTGCTATGAATATATCATGACAGTCCTTTCTGGCCTGCCAGGTCTCTGTGGATAGGTCTGTTGTCAATCTAATGTTTCTACCATTAGAAAGGGTTACAGACTTCTGTCCTGAGCTGCTTTCAGGATTTTCTCTTTGTCTCTGAGACTGTGAGTTTTACTGTTAGATGTCGGGGTGTTGACCTACTTTTATTGATTTTGAGGGGGGTTCTCTGTGCCTCCTGGATTTTGATGCCTGTTTCCTTTCCCACATTAGGGAAGTTCTCTGCTATAATTTGCTCCAATATACCTTCTGCCCCTCTCTCTCTTTCTTCTTCTTCTGGGATCCCAATTATTCTAATGTTGTTTCGTTTTATGGTATCACTTATCTCTCGAATTCTCCCCTCATGATCTGATAGTAGTTATCTCTCTTTTTCTCAGCTTCTTTATTCTCCATCATTTGGTCTTCTGTATCACTCATTCTGTCTTCTGCCTCATTTATCCTAGCAGTTAGAGCCTCCATTTTTTATTGCACCTCATTAATAGCCTTTTTGATTTTGACTTGGTTAGATTTTAATTCTTTTATTTCTCCGGAAAGGGATTTTCTAGTATCTTTTGTACTTTCTTCAAGTCCAGCTAGTATCTTTATAATTGTCATTCTGAACTGTAGTTCTGAGATCTTACTGATGTCTGTATTGATTAGGTCCCTGGCAGTCGGTACTGCCTCTTGTTCTTTTTTTTTGAGTTTTTCTGTCCTGTCATTTTGTCCAGAGGAGAATAGATGAATGAGAGAACAAAATGCTAAAAGGGTAACAACGACCCCAGAAAAATATACACTAAACAAATCAGAAGAGACCTTAAACGGGGGGGCCGGGGGGGAAGAAAGGGAAAAAAAAAGAAAAGAATATAATCAGGCTGGTGAATAGAACAGAGTTACACACTAGATTTTGAGTGTATTTTGGTCTGTTAGAAAAATTGCCTCTCAAAATTTTAAAGAAAGAAAAACTTACATATATACAAAAATAAGGGTAAAAACGAGGGGATGGAATATGACTGTAAGGATGAAAATTTAAAAAGATTTTTAAAAAGGAATTGATAAGAAGTTGTTGAAAAAAGAAAGAAAAAATAAAAAAAAAGAGAATGTGATCAGGCAGGAGACTAGGACATCATCATACACTAGATTTAGGGTATTATTTTGGTCTGTTAGAAGAAACTGTATCCCAAAATTTTAAAGAAAGAAAAAAATATATATATACAAAAAAATAAGGTTAAATACAATGAAGGGATAGAAGATGACTGTAAAAAGGAAAATTAAAAAAGATTTTTTAAAAAGGAATCGATAAGATGTTGGTTGAAAAGGGGAAAAAGAAGAATTCAAAAAAAAAAGAAAAAGAAAAAAAGAAAATTAAAAAATTTAACTTTGAAAGACTAAAGAGTCATGGTCAAAAAGCCATGAATTCTATGTGCAGTATTCCCCTAGCGCTGGAGTTCTCCCGTTCTCCTTGATCGGTAAACTTGGTCTTGGCTTGCTGGCTGTTCATGCTGATCTTCTGGGGGAGGGACCTGTTGCCGTGGTTCCCAAATGTCTTTGCCGGAGGCGGAATTGCCCCGCCCTTGTCGTCCCGGCTAAGCAAGCTGCTCGGGTTTGCTCTCAGGAGCTTTTGTTCCCTGCAAGCTCTCGGTACAGCTTTGGAGGACCAGGGTGAAAATGGTGGCCTCCCAATCTCCGCCCGGAGGAGCTGAGAACTCGGGGCCCTGCTCCTCAGTGCGCCCCCAGAGGAAAGCAGTCACTCCCGTCTCCCTGGTCTCCGGCCGCACTCTGTGCTCACCCGGCCTGTGACTGAGCGTTTCTATCTCTGGCACCCGACTCAGTGTGGAGTCTCCAAACCCAGCAGATCCCTGTGGTGCGCTCCCACGCCGCTCTTCCCGGGGGAGGAAGGGGAGTCTCCCCGGCTCTGCCGCTTGTTGGGTCCCTGCTGGAGGAGCAGTGGCCCGACTGTGTCACCGATCACAGTTTATGGCAACCCCGACCTGAGAGCCTGCGCCTTGGCTCTGTCTCTGCAGCTGGCTTCCCCGCTCCGATACCTGGGAGCTCTGCTGCCCTCAGGCCCCCCTTGTCTTTCTGTGACCCCGAGGGTCCTGAGAGGGTTCCACCCCCAGCTTAGCCACTGGAGCGACGTCCCTCAGCGGAGCCGACTTCTAAAAGTTACGATTTTGTGCTCCGCGGCTCTATCACTTGCCCATAGCCAGCTCCCTCCCCCCTGCGGTCTATCTACCCAAATATCGCCTCGGATTCACTTCTCCGCACGTCCTACCTTCCAGAAAGTGGTCGCTTTTCTGTTCAGAGAGTTGCTGCTATTCTTTTCTTTGATCTCCTGTTGAGTCCGTAGGTGTTCAGAATGATTTGAGCCCTATCCAGCTGAATTCCTGAGACCAGACGAAATTTAGGTCTCCTACTCCTCCGCCCTCTTGCTCCGCCCTCTTGCTCCACCCTGGCTAGTGATTTTAACATGGTGAGTTTGTTATCACCAAATGCTGGATTTATATTCCTTTAAAGAAGATCAAACTTGTTTGGCAGGCAGTTTAAGTTGCTTGTGGGTTTGAAGCCCGATCCATTTGAAGCCCGGTTTTTCAGCTCTTGTAGGGGAGTTGTAGAGTTCCCATTAGCCCAAAGCCAGTTTAACCCCACTTTTAAGGCATGGCCCTTCTGGGGTCTCTACTGAATGCCCCAGGTATTCAAGGCGATCTCTCCACGCTGCCTAGTGGGAACTTAAATGGTTTTTGGGCCTACGTGAGATCTGAAACTTATTTATGTCATGTCTCCCTGTCAAGTATTCCTTTCTTTGAAGTTGTTGTCCAGACTAGTGGGACTGCACCAGAGGCATAAACAGATCAGTGGAGGGGGCGCCTGGGTGGCTCAGTTGGTTAAGCGACTGCCTTTGGCTCAGGTCATGATCCTGGAGTCCCGGGATCGAGTCCCGCATCGGGCTCCCTGCTCAGCAGGGAGTCTGCTTCTCCCTCTGACCCTCTTCCCTCTCGTGCTCTCATCTCTCATTCTCTCCCAAATAAATAAATAAAATCTTTAAAAAAAAATAAACAGATCAGTGGAGGTCTGGGTAATTCCTGCTCTTTTTAAGTACTCTGCCCTGGAAAGTGTAGCCACCTCGATCTCTCTCAACTCCAATCTCTGTTTAGGTTTCTCCTTCTGGGCCATGGTCTGGTCATTTCCTCCAGGCAGAAAGCCTAGGTGGTAGTAAGGCTCACCTCATTTTCTCCCTTTTCTCAGTTTTGTGTTGACAAGCCTGCAAATTGTTTTTTTATATATTGTTTCCAGTTTTCTAGTTGTTTATGGTAGGAAGGTACTTCTGGATCATCTTATCAATGGGTGCACAAGTAACTACCCCACTCTTTTTTTTTTTTTTTTTTTGTAGCACTAGGGTTTATTGAGCTGTGTGCCTTCGTGCAGATGCTGGGGCTTGCCCATGGTGCTCTTGATGCATAAAGCCCAGATGTTCTGCCAGTTCCTCTTAAGCAGTGACTCCAGGAAACTGACAGCCAAGTGGATGTTGTACACAAGCTCGTCCTCTGTCATCTTCACGGGGCCAAGAGCCACTGCCAGACACAGCACCTTCTTCATCTGGCATTTGATTCTGGACTTCATTTCATCCACCTTGGCCACCATGTCCTCATTGTGGGTCAACAAGGAGGGGAACTTGCCAGCCTTCTTGAGGCCTGGGCCCAGGATTCGTGGGATCTGCTTGATCAGAGATTCTGAAGCAAAAAAAAAAAAAAAAAAAAGGCATCATACTTCTTGGCTAGCTTCTTGATTCATGTTTTATTCTTGTTGAGTTCCTTCAGTGCCTCAGTATCCATGAGGGGAAATATCGACAGTGTCGGCCTCATCACTATGCTGCTGGTCCCCCCAGAACACAAACGAGGAATTTGGGGCAGGGAGTGGACTTAAGCCTGCTGGTGCCCAAGAAGGGTTTGTCCTTCTGAGGGCCTTAATTCTTCAAGCTGAGGTACAGCTCCACCATCTCCCAAGACTTCGGTGCACACACTGGTTCCCATGCGGGACTTCCCGAGCCGCCTCCTACAGGGTGTCCGGGGAGACTGTTGCTCGTGGCGCCATGCCACAATAAGCCAAAAAGAGAGTCAATGCTCCAGGCTTACGTTTGAATTTCCAGCACTGGATTACCAGATCAAGGGAGCCCCCACTATGAAACACAGACGCTAAGACAAAAGGGGAAAAAGGACCAAGAAAACCCCAGATGATTCAGAGAGCAAAGTTTTTAAAAAAATTTGAATGAAAACCCTAAAAGGGACCCAAGAAGATACTGCATCACTGAAATCACAGAATGCCATGAATTTTTTTTTAATGCAGGGAATAAGAAAGTTTTTGAAATTAAAAATATGCTAGAAGAAAAAAAATTCAGTATAAAGTATCAAAGATATAACTGAGGAAATTTTTCAGACAGTTGAACAAAAAGACAAGGAGACAGAAGGTATCAGAGAAGAGACCAAACTACCACAGGATTGATCAAGAGAGCCCAAATTTTCAATTCAAAGTATCTTTAGGAAAAAAACAGGAAAAAAAGGAGGACAAGAAATTATGGAAAAAGAAAAGAAAACTTCCTGGGGCTCCTGGGTGGCTCAGTCCTTAAGAGTCTGCCTTCAGCTCAGGTCATGATCCCAGGGTCCTGGGATCGAGCCCCTGCATGGGGCTCCCTGCTCCGCGGGAAGCCTGCTTCTCCCTCTCCCTCTGCCCCTGCTTGTGTTCCCTCTCTTGCTCTGTCTCTCTCTGTCAAATAAATAAATAAAAATCTTTAAAAATTAGAAAAGAAAAGAAAACTTCCCAAATAGGAGTGTGAGCCTCTAGATTGAAAAAGGCCACTGACAGCTCAGCTCAATGAATTAAAGATCCTCACCAGGTAAACCATGACCAAAACTCAGGACACCTGAACAAATGAAATCCTCTCAGAAGCATACAAAATGTCAGGGATTAGAAAGACACAGCGACACAGGAAATGAGAGGACAATAGGCTAGTGCCTACAACTTCTAAGAGGACATGATTACCATCTGGAGATTCATACCCTGACGAACTATCAAGTGAATGTAAGGGTCTAATAGAAGTATTTTCCAACCCTCACCGCAACAAAAATTTGACCCTCCATTCATTCTCATGAAGCAGCAGAAGGATGTGCCCCATCAATCACAATGACAACCCAGGGTCCAGAAAAGGAGGCATCTCAAACAAGAGACCATGGGAACCCCCTGGAAAATGCTGGAGATGGGGAGCTCCAGGGTGGTAGCTGTGCAGCCAGCTCTAAGGACAGTTAGTGTAGACTGGAGGAGGGCAATGGTGAGGGAATGTTCAGAGAAGGGGGCAAGGGGACCTGGTTATTGACTTGGTCTGACTGTATTGTGAAGTTTTCATTCAGTGAGTTGTTTAGAATTACAAAGGCAAATATGAAAAACGGAGAAGATTTGAAAATCTGGGTCGTGGGGACTGGAGATCAGGAGGGCCTTGGGGAGTGACTGTTATTTTTTGTTTTAACCCTGTACTTCTGTTTGATTGTTAAAACTCTTCATTTATTACTTCAATAAATAAAAAAATACTAAAAGGGTAAGAGGCCTAGAAATCAAAGTACAGGGCAGGTGTGGCCGTCATATCCAGGAAAGCTAGACCCCTGGAAAACTGGAGTTCCTGGGGTGAATTTATAAGGGACCTTACCAGAGGACCAATTTAGGGAGAAATGTAACTGTGAAGGCTGACTGGAAATTTCTGTTACCAAGTCTGCACGTTCTCTCCTTAATAGAGAAACAGATTCAGGAAGTCTAATTACATTCGGAAGGTTGCTTGATAAAGAGGAAATCAAAGTGAAGGGAGTTATATAGTCCCCAGAAATATTTCTCTCTTTCTTTTTTTTTTTTTTTAAGATTTTACTTATTTATTTGTCAGAGAGAACGAGCACAAGCAGGGGGAGCGGCAGAAGGAGAGAGAGAAGCAGACTGCTGACTGAGCAGGGAGCCTGATGTGGGACTCGATCCCAGGACCCTGGGATCATGACCTGAGCTGAAGGCAGACACTTAACTGACTGAGCCACCCAGGCGCCCCTAGTCCTTGGAAATATTTCATTCAGACCACGATCAAAATCGCCTGGTGAGTCACCTGCTCCTTTAAGAGCTATCAGAGATCAGCAAACTTTCTCTGTCAAGGTCTAGCTATTCAACGCTTCCACTGTGCAGGCTGTCTCTGTCCCACTGGCCAACTCAGCTCTTAGAGCCGGTTATCCCCTTTTTATCTGACCTGGTGTTAGCATGTTTTGCTTTTTCATCCAATTTCTGTTTTTATTTCTGTTCCAAGAGAAATAACAGGATTTGCGCCAGTGGACTTTCTAGAACAAGTTGGATCATGGCTAAGATGTCAAGAAGAGTCTATTCATTTTGGTTTGTCATTAGGATTTCATTTCATGAAAGGAGGTTTCGTGAGAGTCTCACTAACATGCAAGGACAATTTCGGGTTCATTCTGTGAACTTACAGGTGCTCTTTAAAGAACTGCAGACATTTTCTCACAGTGCGGCTATCGGACAAGCTCTGCCTTTTGTGTTTGTTTTCACTGCGGTTAAAAACCACAGCAAATACTCAAAGGCAAAGAACTGAAACAGCAAGAATTAATGTTTGGCTCTTGGAAATTGAACACTTTGCTTTTCCACTTGCTTGCAGTCTATCTTATTTAGTCTGCTGAGAGCAAAAAGGCAAAATAAACAATGTTTTCCAAGATCGGTTCAGAGGACAAGCAGCAACTGTAGAGTCAGTCACAGAAAGTTCAGAATTTCAGTCATTCAGCACCTGCTTACTGGGCGTTTACTGGGGGCTTGGTGCATACGGAACAGAACACCGAACAACACACCAAATCTGTGGTCATGTACTATGCAGCCACGGGTGCCGATACTGGGATGCCTCAAGGACCCAGTGGCTACACGTGGCCTTGGCTTCTCATAGTATGGTAGTGAGGTTCGGAGACAGAGCTTCCCCAGAGCAAGGGTCCCAAGAGCATAACCTCCCAGAGACCAGGGCAGAGGCTTTTCTTGCCTGGCCTAGGAAGTCACACTAACATACTTCCATCATACATCACAAGCTCACCCAGATTCCAGGAGAGGGGATATAGGCTCCATCTCAATTGGAGAATTTGTGACCATCTTCTAAAACTGCCTCAAGGAGTTGGCCATTTGAAGCAGGGAGTAGAATGGTCAAGATCTGTACTGTCCATTCTGGAAGCAGCTGGTCACATGGGGCTATTAAATAGAAATTAGGGACACCTGGGTGGCTCAAGCAGTTAAGCGTCTGCCTTCGGCTCAGGTCACAATCCCAAAGTCCTGGGATCGAGCCCCGAGTCGGGGTCCCTGCTCCACGGGAGGCCTGCTTCTCCCTCTCCCACTCCCCCTGCTTGTGTTCCCTCTCTCGCTGTGTCTCTCTCTGGCAATTAAATAAAATCTTTAAAAATAAATAAATAAATGGAAACTAATCATGTTGCAAGCACTCCAGAGCTGCACGTGGCTAGGGGCTACCATGTTGGAGAGCACAGAGAGAGAGAACACAGCCAGCACTGTGGGAGGTTCTGTTGGATGTGCTGCCCTGGGCGGATGTAACCGTACGGGCCAATTCTCTGAGTTAGATTATACATGGACTTAGAAGTGGAATAGAAAAAAGCCCTGGCTTTACATACACTATATGCTACTTAACTGAATTTAAATAAAATAAAATTAAAAAAATAAAGTACACAATGAACATACTTTCCCCAATAAAATATTTGTCCCTCCTGAAAAAGAAGGAAAGAGAGAAAGAAAGGGAGAAAGAAAGAGAGAGAGAGAGAGAGAGAGAGAAAGGGAAAGAAAGAAAAACCGGCTTTAAGAACAGGTTCTTTGGCTGCTTTTTGCTGTTGTGTGCCTAGCATCTAGTGCATAATAGGCCCTCACAATTTTTTTGTGGAACGAAAGGATGTATACATAAGGAAGGCTTAAGGATACCACGTGCCAAGCTAGAGAAAAAGGGCCTCAGACGAGAGTGGAGTAGACCGGGGTCAGATCACACAGGGCCTTTCTTTCTTAAGGAGTTTATATTTTATTTTAAGTAAAATAGAACTCACATAATATGTTGTTTCATATTTTGCTTATTTATGAGAGGCCTAAAAAGAAATAAATTTATTGTGGCTAATGGGCTTGTTAGTAAAAAAGGCAGTAGACAGAAATCTAGAAATACCAAAGGTCTAACCAAATTAGAAATCTATTTATCTCTGTTTATATAAATGTAGGCTCCTATGGCAACTCCAGAATAATCAGGACCGCAGGCTCTTGATTGGGCCTTCTACCTTATTATCCCAGATGTCTACTTTGTCCAGTTTTTTTTTTTTTTTTTTATCTGCTTTCTAGACAGGAGAAAGAGAAAAAGAGAGAGGGAGAGCTGCTGGCCCTCATATCCAGGATGATGATCTCACTTCCTCTAGGTTTTTTTTTTAAAGATTTGATTCATTTATTTGAGAGAGAGAGAGAGAGAACATATGAGTGAGGGGAGGGGCAGAGGAAGAGGAAGCAGATTCCCTGTTGAGCCCAACACTGGGTTTGATCCCAGGACCCTGAAATCATGATCTGAGCCGAAGGCAGATGCTTAACCGACCGAGCCACCCAGGCGCTCCTTACCTCTAGCTTCTTAACTTAATTATATCTGCAAAAACCCTTCCTCCAAATAAGGTCATATTCACAGTTATGG